TCGTCGGCTATCCTCCTGTTTAATACCCTCTGTTGAGTAGTACTTTGTTGACTAGCTCTCTGTTGTTCCCACCGGGCCTGCCAGGCCAGTTCGACCACCTCCTTGGTATTCGACCCCCTATCCTTCCCCCCGATCTTCCATTTGTAGTTAACCCACTGGGCCACTACACTAGCGGCTAGTTCAGTGGGCGTGGGACTCTGCGGGCCCTGACGGGGCCTCCGGCCTCGGGTTTTCCTCCTCTTGTTGAACCTTCGGTAGACCTTATTGCAGGCCTCAGTGATTAGATGCCCCGTGGTTATTCTCTCAGCCTCCGGCCCAGCCCCTGACTGTAGGGCCTGCTTCTGTAGCCGGCCCTCGAAGTCGGCCAGCCGCTTGTTGAGATATAGGTCTAGCGGTGGCACCCAGGCCTCTGTTTCTAAGCACCGAATAGGAGCTGACTTGTATGCCCCTACTACTATTCGAAGGCTCCTGTTCTGAGCTTTTGACAAGACCTTTGCAGGCCCCTTCGGCCCTGTAGCTCTTGGAGCTGTTGGTTGGTGGAAGCTGGAGGCTCCGTAAGCTATGGCACTGCGGATGCACTTTACGTAGACCTCCCGAGCCCTGGATAGGCTCGGGCCCCACGTCTTTGCTGCAATCCTCGATAAGGCGAAATCTTGGGTTTTGAGTTTCCGTTCCACAGCTTGATGGTGCGCCCTCCATGACAGCTTCCAGTCCAGCCAGACTCCTAGAAACCGAGCCGATTCCACTGGCTTAACTGTGCTGTAGCCACTGGCCCCTGGGTGGGCCAGGGCCACCGGGTTCTCCCACTGTCTCCGACCTTTGTTGAAGTGAATTAATTCGCACTTTTGAGGTGCGAACGCCATCCCCCGGGTACCAGCCCACTGCAAGCAGGTCTTCCAAGCTTTTTCCAGTTGCTGTGTATTGGCCTCTGGGTTCTTTCCAAAGGCCAGTAGGTTTGTGTCGTCTGCGAACCCTACTATGCTAACCAGTGGATGAGCTGTTTTCAGGGCCTGATATAGGGAGGCAATGTAGAGGATAAATAGGATCGGGGATAGTGGTGAGCCCTGGGGGACTCCCGCTATGACTGGGATGTCCTCTGTTTTCTGGCCGTCGAAGTGGAGGATCGCAACTCTGTTACTTAACCACGCCTTCACCCACAGAACCACCCACTGTGGGTAACCCTGTAGCCGAAGAGTGGCTAGTAGCCGGGTATGGTTGACGGTGTCGAATGCCCCTGAGATATCCAACTGTAGAAGGGAGGCGGTTGCTTTCTGCCGCCAGGCCTCCTGGACTTGGGCTACGACTAGCCGAATCGCTACCTCTGTTGACCTGTGCTCTCGGTTTCCCATCTGCTCCGCTGGTAGTAGGCCGTAGGCCTCTGCAGCACTAGTAATCCTCTCTGCTACCAGTGCTTCTATGACCTTCCCAACTGTAGGTAGGAGGGCTATGGGCCTGTAACCTCCTGGAGTTCGGTAGGTACTCGGCTCTTTTCCGGGCTTTTGTAGGACAACTGTTTTGGCTCTCTTGAATATTTCTGGAAACCATCCGATCCGGAAACACGCCTCCGTGAGAACCGCTAGCACCCTGAACAGTGGGCGCCCGCAGGCCTTAAGAAGGCCTATAGGTAAGTGGTCCTCGCCTGGAGCCTTCCAAGGACTAATCTTCGAAAGGACTGCCCTAACATCACCCACTGTAACCTTTTCCTCTATATTGAACTTCGGAACCCACTGTTCTAGCAGGTCCGGGTCCTCTATATCAGAAAGGTCAGCTTCTGGGTTAGGGTAGAACCGGCGTGCTAAGGCCTCCGCCTTCTCCTTGTGGGTGGAGAGGTCCTGGCCTCCGGGGGGCCCTGTGAGAGCGGGTAGTTTCGGGGGATCTGGGGGGGCGAAGCTTCTGCAACGGGCCCAGCGTTCTAGGCTCCATAGCAGGTCGGTTTTGTGGGTGGCTTTCTGCATTGTTGTCCTCCAGGTCTTCGTTTTCTCCTTGTTGATGGTGGCCGCGAGGGCCCGTAGACCTTGGTTAAGTCTTTCTTTGTTGTGCTCCGACGGGGCTGCCTTGCACTCCCTTTCGGCTCTCCTTGCCTCTCCCTGGGCCTCCTGGACCTCCACTGACCACCACGGCGAGCCGTGGCCTCTGTTGGCCTTCTTCCGAGGGGTGGCCACTTCAGCTATCCTCTGTAGCTCCTCGACCAACCAGTTGAATGCTTCTTTTAAACCCTCCTGCTCCCTGACTTGTGCCCGGAGGCCCTGTGGCCCTGGGTCCTCTAGGCCTATTTTCTCTGGTAGGAGGGCCGCCTCGGCCTCCACCCTACGCCTGTCCATCATCTTCCAGTTCCAACCCCCTGGCTGGGTTTGTTGTGGTAGGGGGCCTCCGATGTCAGCTTCCAAAATCTGTGGGTAGTGGTCTGACTTCCCCCTGTATTCCAGGCCGTAGTAGGTCGTTTGTAGACCCACTGATGCCCAGAAGTGGTCTATTGTCGAAGTGCGGCCTCGCTGGGCCCCCTGCGGTGCCCTGGTTATAGTGCCTGCTGGAGTTCGAAGATCGAGATCCCACTGTAGTGCCAACTCTAGGAGAGCCTCGGCCTTCCTTTCGTACCGGCCAAACCGGTCCCATTGCGGGTGGTGTAGGTTAAAGTCCCCCGCTAATACTACTGGGTAGGCTGGGGCCGGCCGACTTAGGAGGGTTTGTAGGAGGGTTTTATCCTCAAGGGGGTTATAGATAGACCAGAGTTCTAGTCCACTGTTCCCGAGCCCTGGGAACCATACCTTACAATGTTCCTCTGAAGTCTCATATTCCCACTGTCCTGTGTCGAACTTTCGGCTGACGAATATAGCCGCTCGCCCACTTGCTTTATGAACTAGGTGGTATTTCGAGCCTCTGGGACAGTAGGTTGACTTGGTTTGTTGGTTGATCCATGGCTCCTGAATAGCCATTAGGTCGTACTGCGCTTCTTCTAGCAGGGCCTCGAGTGCCTGCTTGTTTCCTTCGGTGTTCCACAGCAGGACTCTAATTTTCATTAGTTTCCATAGTTGCGTCTTCAGCTGGTTGGGCCTGTTCGGCCGGCTGGGTAGGCTGGGTAGGCTGGGTGGGCTGAGTGGGCTGGGTGGGCTGGATAGCTCCGAATATCCCCCCCGAACCAAGGCTAATCCGGCTTTGGGAGGGGTCCCTTCCAGCCACTGAAATCAACGTTGGCCGGCCTCTGCCCAACCGTGGCCTTTTTGCCCCGACTCTCAGAAATCCATACTCCTCCTCCTGTGGTCGGGCCTTCTCGTAGGTGAATGCTGATCTTGGTGCTGTTATAGGCTCCGCAGCTGCTGTCCGAGCTGGCTCGAACACCCTTGGTCGGTATTGGTATGCCTCTCTCGCCTCCTTCTTGGCCCTGGCCCTTCCCGGGCACTCCTTGGCCCAGCCCGGGTGCTTTCCTCCGCAGCAGGGGCACTTACAGGGCACCTGACCCTGCTGGGTAGGGCAGAGGGCCTCCCCGGCCCTCCCGCCCTCCCCATGGGCCCCCGTACCACACCTCCCACACAGGGCCTCTTTCTGGCAAAACCTCTGTATGTGGCCCCATTTCCAACACTTGAAGCACTGTTTCGGTTCCAGCATTGCCCAGTAGGGCTGGCAGTCGAGTAGCTGAGCGTTCCAGATTATCCCCTGGTCACAGGCCTTCCGAGCCTCCTCTTGGTCTCTAAGGGCAACTAGTACCGTCGCCCTGGTAAACCCTGGGTTGGTTGGGACTCTGAACTTGACCTTGTCCACTAACCAAAGGCCTAGTTCTCCCCCGAACACCTCCTCCGTAGTACCCTGTAGGTCGGCCTTCCTCAGGCCCTTCACCAGCACTGCGTAAGTTCTGCCAGCCTCTTTAGCCTGCTCCCCGAAGGCTTGTTGAATCCACTGGGTGTTGTTGGAATGCCAGCTTTTGGTGTTCGAGTCGTTGAACGTTACCACTGTGTCCCCGCTAGGGAGCTTCCGGGCTGCAATAGCTCCCTGCTTGGTTGAGGCTTGGTTGATGGCCTGGATGATTTCGACTGGGGACCTTTGTGCAAGGTCGGCTGACACGTTGGCTCCCCGCACTAGTAGCTCCCGGTCGGCCCTCTGGGGGATGATTTTCGTAGGTTGAGCTTGCAAGCCTTGCCCGGGCCCTGCGGCCACTGCAGCCCACGAACGGCCCTGTGTCGCACTTCGATTGGGTCCCACGGCAGCCTGGACCGCCTCCGTAACTACTTTCTGTAGGTGGGCTGCCGTAAGCCCTCCCAGGCTTTCCTTCGAGTGGTGGTGCCCCTGTTTCTGACTTGCAAATAGGTCGCTTAGGTCCTTTGCGAGGCCCCGGGCCTCTCCTCTGTTCTCGATAGGTACTAGATTTACCAAGCCGTTCAACAGGCCTCTGAAATGCTCTGCCTTAGGTAGTCTCGGGGGGGTTAGGCGCTGTGGAGGGCCATGCAGAGGGCCCTGCGGGAGGACCTCTACCAGGGGGCCCTCTATGGGGGGCCCTTCCGACGGGGCCGATGGCGGTTGGCCTGCCCACATCAGGGGCTTCGTCTTGCTGGCTTCAGGGGCTTCGTTCCGTTGGCTGGCCGGGTAACGGGGCCAAGGCTCTTAGTGGCTTGGCGGTTGAAAATTTTGGACGCGGTAGACGCGGTCGGCACCCGCGGGTACCCTCCTAACCGTAGCACTCACTGCGGCCGCGCCACTGGTCGCGCACCGTTGCAAGCGGTATTGTTAGATAGGGTTTTTCGAGGGCTTTCGAATGCTGTCGGTTTCGTCGGTTTTGGCCCACTTTTCGTGAGGCGATCTCCTATAGATTATAATTCAAGGATAAAATTTGTCTGTCGCGCATACAACTGAGTGCAAATAACTATATATTAACGTGGTATATAACTAACTATCATTATTTTGTGAGTTCTACTCCTCGCCCTGTAGACCCACTTCTTTAAATGCAGGGTGGATTTCCGTACAGAATATTACATCGTGCACTACCGGAAAATTCACTCTTCGCCTCTATCTCCATCAAGGTAAACAGCAATTCCCCACGTCCAAATAAATATAACATCATTTTTTTCTTGCAAGTCGCTTTCGCCGGCTTCGGTGAATCCAGATCAAGCGCTCCAGCGGGATTTCTCTTTCCGCTCGCTAAGATGGTAGACTGTGAAGTCTCGAATGCGATTCCTCGTGCGACGGCTCCCGGCCTTCCCGTTCTCCCTCATCAACTCTATGAGACTCTCGATACTCTCATACAGGACCTGAATGCCTGGGGCCATTCCAACGGCCTTGCCTTTTTCAAGCAACGTCCTTCGAACTATAAGGATGGCAAACCAACCCGATATGAGATTGCTTGCGACCGTGGAGGCAAGATACATCATACGTGCCTCACAGTCTACGGTTCGTCGATCCAGCACATCGAAGACAGGGTGCGAATGGTCTGGTGTTGCGAAGGCGTTGAAGGAAAATGGCCGCAAGTGGTCATTTGATTCTGGAGGCGGCCACGAGACCCTTTATTTGGATGGATGGATGGAATTTATTTCGCCCGGAGGCACTGGGCCTATAGGGCCTTAGCACGCTAGCTACATCCGGATCAGATCGTTTTGCGTTTAACTCGTACAAGCCCCCTACTTCTTCCCTCTTTCTCGCTGCACCATTTACCTCTTGCCTTGGTTGTTGTTAGCAGATCAGACTTGGAGCGCTACTTTCTCCAAGTGTTCAGCGTCCTATCTTCAGCAGACGAGCCTAAAGCGGGACCTGCTGGTTAAGGCTCGTGGTTGAGGCTCGTGGTGTTGAGTGTCGGCTTCTTCTACTGTGACTGGTTTAGACTCTCCTCTTCATTCAGCTCCAGCCTTCCTGTTGCCATTGCGTATTTGATCGTCGCCCGGACTGCCTTCATATCTGGTGACCAATGCCTTGTATCTGATGGCGCTTTCCCTCCCAGATAGAACGAGAGGCTTCCTCGTCTTGCCACTGTGCATTGCAGCATGTCTTCCCTCAGAGCTGTCCATCTCACGCATCGGAAAAGAAAGTGTTCCACTGATTCCCTCGCTTGTCCACAGGCACAAAGGTCTGACTCGACCGCCCCAATCCTGCTCAAAAAACCGTTCAGTCTCGCCATTCCGGTTCGGAGCTGCGCCAATACGCAGGCCTTCCTTCGCTTCAGCTTGTCATAGAGATCGCGCGTGTGCTTGCCTGGTAGTGCTGCGTCCATGGCCTTTGAGAACTTGCCCACGCTTACAGGTAGAACTCTTGTCGTCCGTTTGTCTTTTCATTGCCAGCCCTCATCGCGGTAGACTTGGGTCTGGGGCATTTGGGGAGTCGGGGTGTGCGTCCTGGCTTGACGCTCCTCTGGGGTTGCTGGCCTTGGCATTTGACCCTGCGCGAAGTCAATCTCCTGCTGGGTCCACAAAAGTTAATTGAATTTCTCTTTTGTTGTGCCGCTGTGGCAGTCCGATATATGTCGTATGAGCCTTGGCCGGGATTTTTCCAGGCTTTTTTTCTGTTTTTTTATCTTTAAAGTGTCTTTTTGCTACCGTTATATATAGAGACGTAATTAGTGTTTAGTAATTTATCTTTG